CTCCTGCCCACCTAAGCGAGTTCCCATTCTCTCTACCTTAGCCTCACATAGTTTTACACTATAAAAGTCCCTGGAAGAGACAGCTTCCCGGGGAACTACCTGCTCGGGCCTCCCTCCTGTCCCTCTCACGGACAGGAGCTTTCTTTCTCTCAATAAACATATTCTGCTCATAACCTCCGTTTGTTCCTAAGATTTATTCTTCAGTTTTAGAGAACACGAACTCGTGCAGGTCAGGTCGGGAGATTGTCTTTCTCTATGTCATTTGGAGTTTCCTTGTATGGTTTGGAGGCCACCCACCCGAGACCAGTTTTACCTCCCTGTATCACTAGGGACAGCCGACGAGGCTCGGACTCCCAGAATGGACTCTGTCCACATTCACGCTGATGCCACCAGCTCTCCTGCTGTCTAGGGTTTGGGGATATGATCCTCCTGGACAATAAGTTACCTTCTCCACCCGGCTCAGACAGTGTGTTGGGGGAGGGGTACTCACAGCTCCCATGAGTGCCACCCCGGAGCCGATGTTGATGATCGTGGGGATGATGCTGAACTTCCCTGCCTGGGAGACAGAGAGAAGGTGGGCAGTGAGGCAGACTCAACAGCCACGTCCCCAGAGCCTCTCCCACCTGCCTCACCTGCCCCGCAGACCCTCAGAGTGGGAAGGCCAACCACACACCTTGCCATTAACTATCACGTCGATGCGGATCCCGTAGGCTTTCATCAGGTTGCGCAACTCCACCCCAGCTGGGTCTCTGTAGTATCTGGCAAACCTGGGGGAGAAGAGGGGCCTGGGAGAAACACAGCCTGCCTGTGCCTTCCCTCTCCAGCACGCGGGGGACCACGTTGGGGATTTCTAAGTCCTCGGAGGATCCTGGCTCTCAGCAGCTCTGGGAGAGGGTCACCGGCCTTCCCTCTGAGCCAGCATCCAAACCTTTCACCAAGGTACCAGGCCTCTCCCACTGCGCTGAGCCAATCTCGGGCACCATGGCAAAAAAAGGGCACAACAGACATCCCTCTCTGGCCAGGTGTTTCGCTACACTGTCCTCGCCACTCTGCTGAGTCCTCTCCACACCCCCACGGTCACTCTTTTGCCTCCCCGTTCTAGGACCCACCCAAAGCCAGTGCCCAGGAAAGGACAACCAAACATGATCAGGGCCACAGAGTGGCACAAGGCAGCAATTACCTGAAGTTGTATCCAGAGGAAACAGATTTGGCATGTTTGTTGTCCAGACGGTTAAAATTATAGCTTGGATGGCACTCGGAGGCAGCTTTATCAAGGTCGCAGTTCCACTCGATATGAATTCCTATCACACCTCCCTTGATACAAGAGACAAGGATCAGTGCCCAGAGCTATCTGGAGACAGATGGAAGCCATGCTGTCACCACAGCTGAAGACAGAGGAAGGGCTCAGGTCAGAGATATCCTGGTGGACCAGCCTTCAGGAAAGTTCTAGCACCAAGAAAGTTGCTCCACCCATCCCCAGTGTCATCTCCCTTCATTCTTCGGAGAGCAGGGAGCTAGCTACTTTATAGGCAGGCACGTGATAAACGAACCAGGGTGTGTTCATGGGGCTCGCCGGACTCCATTTGAGCTGAAAGCTTAGTGAGCTTTTGGAGGCAGGTGGCTTTGCAGCCCTCCCTGGAACCCCACTCTCCCTCTCCCCCACCCCACCCCATTATCTCATCGCAGCAGAACAGAGGTCCCAGGGGCAGCTCCCTGAGCAAGCACCACTCACCTCCAGGGCAATGTCCTCGAAAGTGCTCCCAGCCCACTGGACCACGGATCCCAGCCGAAAGATGGGGCAGTAGTGATTGTTGGGGCCAAAGCGACAGGATTTCAGAAAACCTTTGTTCTTTGTTTCCAGTACATTGGCCCTGGGTAGAAGCCACAAATAAAGAGGAGTCAGTGGGGCCCCCACATCTGACCTAACTACCCTCTTCCTCTTTCATCCTATTCTCAGCACAAACCAAGACTGAAAACCAAGCCTACCACTATGGTGGGGCCACTCAGGTGTGGCCAAATAAACACACATGCACTCACACACATCCCCAGGGAGGCGCAGCCCAGGCCCCACCCCAGGACCCCAGCAGCCAAGGCCCACCTACTTGGAAAAATTGAACTTGGGAAAACGAATATAGTTCTTTATGAAAATGGTGAAGTCTTCAGCGTCCCTCAGGAGTGGCTTCCTGAAAAGCAGTCCAAGAAAGCCTGAGCAGGAGGCCTTCCCCGGCCCTCCCACACCTCCCTCAGGCCTGGGCAGAGCTGAAGCCTATTCCCTGATCGCCAGGAGCCTTTACAAAGGACTATCCATTTGCTTGTGCTGGGTTGGTCCTCAGACCTCTCTGGAATGTCTGTTTATCTCCCTCAGAATGAAGATCTCCTGGGACTGGCACATCTCCAACCTCAAGCTAGACTCAGACTAGCAACTCCTCAGGGGCCTGAGGGTGCAGCTACTCACTTGGGCTTGGACTGTGTCTCTACTGGGCACCAGGCAAAGATCTCACAGGTGCCCCTTGTTGAGTTCCCAGCCTGCAAACAGCGGCCAGTCTTCACTCCTGCAGCAGCGAGACAGGAACAAGGCCAGGAGCCTCCCAGCCCCGGGGCCCTGCACCCCCTCCAGTTATGGCCATCCAACCCCAGCCTCTCACCATTTCCAGCTATAACGGGTGCCCCAGCTTGGCAGTCCTGGTCCTGAGAACACATGCCATCAGGAATGCCTTCACGCTGCCAGGAGAGAAAGGTCCCTGCATGGGGAGCCCCCAACTCAGGGTCACACCCCACCCAGGTGTTAGAAGAGGAGTGCCTCCCAGGCCTGGGCCATAAACCCTTGGAGAGACTGCTTCTATCCCCTGTATGATATAGGCACTTGCACTGGTGCACACAGACTCCAGGGACCCTGGGAACACACAGAAGCCCCTGCTTCAGTAGAAGGGCCAACCCCACCACAGTGGCAGCTCCCACACCCTCCTCCACTCCCCACGCCAAATCAAACCTCAGCACAGGTGCTCTGCCGCTGGTTGGTGGTCACGATCAGGTTAGTGATCACAAAGAAGACGTTATCTCCCTGAGGAACCACAGAGGGGTTGAGGAGCCTCCTCAGACCCTATAAGGAAACCTCCTTTCCCAGGGCTGCCAAGCAAGGGCTGGGACCTCTGCGTGGTATTGGGAAAATGGAGCCACAAAACTGATGGCCTCTGCCTACAAACCCCAAGTGCCCTTGCCTCTTGAGTTCCTATTCTGATCAACCCCAGAGCCCACGCCTAGATGTGGGAAGAGATGGGGCAGTAATGGGGTTGCTCCGGCTATGGCCTGAGACAACTGAACAACTGGGGAGCTACTCCCACAGGCAGGGGCATATAAGGGAGATCTGTGCCCCAGGTCACCTAATGATAATGGAAGTTTACCTGGCCACACATGGTCTCAACAGACTCAGGAAACTGGGAATACCCTTGGTACGCCAGGCATAGAAGGGAGAGCAGGGGTTTGGATGGGAAAAGGGATGTGGACAGAGCCTCGATCTACAGCTGGGACCAAGGGAGAGAGTGGTAGATGTCCCTGGGCACCCAAGCAGCTTCCTGTATGGCCCACCCCAAGCCAGGCCACCAGGGATAGGCAGGGCTCAGACCTGGGGTGGGATGACATAGTCTGCAACATCCCAGAGACGCTCCCCGAGCTCCGAGGTGTTGGTGTAGGCCACGCCCTTGACTTTGGTGACAACAGCACTCTGCAGGGAGGTGTCAGTATCTTGATAACCCTTCTTTATCACGAACACCCATCTGCAGGAAGGGGTCAGCAGGTGGACATCAGCCACACTGCTGCCCTCAGGGACTAGGCCAGAGTGGTAGTCACAGCAACACCGAGGAAAGAGGAAGCCAGGACAGAGCTCCTCCTGTCCTACCAGTTCCTGGGCAGGGGTCACAGCCACCACTGCTGCCAGAAACCTAATCCTGTGAGCAGTAGAGGCAGCAAGCAACCCCAGAGGCAGAAGTTCTAAAAGGTAGTGCGTACTGGTCTCAGAAGCAGGGCAGGCCTCTGGCTACATGACACCAGGCAAGCTGGCCAACCCGGAGCGAGAGTTTCCTAGTGTGACTGGATAACTGTCCCCCTCCACACACACCCCACCACCTCCCCCACCCCCGCCAGGGCTGGGGTGCCTAACCTAAAACCAGTCATGAGCAGGCCTCTGAGCAACCCAAATTGAGGGGCACTCTATGAAGCAAGAACGGAAAATCCTGGGCTGGGGAGATAGCAGTAGAATAAGCACTTGCCTGGGAAGTGCAGGGTCCTGAGTTCAATCCCTAGTACCAA